TGTCTTGGGGGGCATGCTCATGTGGAGGTGTGTGTTGGGGGCATGCTCATGTGGAGGTGTGTGTTGGGGGGGCATGCTCATGTGGAGGTGTGTGTTGGGGGGGCATGCTCATGTGGAGGTGTGTGTTGGGGGGGCATGCTCATGTGGAGGTGTGTTGTGTGTGTCTTGGAGGGGCATGCTCATGTGGAGGTGTGTTGTGTGTGTTGGGGGGGCATGCTCATGTGGAGGTGTGTTGTGTGTGTGTTGGAGGGGAGGCATGCACATGGGGAAGCCAGAGGACAGCTTTTTGATTTGGTTCTCTCCTTGCGCAGAGTGGGTTCTGGGAACTGAACTTGTCTGAAGATTAAGCTTTGGTGGCAAGTACCCTCACCACTGAGCCACCTCCTCAGCCAGAAGATTTCACTAAAAAATAAATAAAAAGGAATCATTTTTCTTGCACAACATTTTTGTTAATCCCTAAAAGGTTTGAGTAAACCGGCCACCTTGAAGCGGGTTCTGAGATGGGAACACCGCCTGTCCCGAAGGTGTCTGAGGAGATCCACTGGGAAGGCCATGGGAGAGTCCAGCCAACAGTTGACAGACTGGCTCCTTCTGGTTTTCCTTCCTTACCTTGCCAACCTCACCGTCCACTCACACCCCCATCCTCCCAAATTTCAGTGGCTTATTTTAAAATCAAAATAAACCAGAGGCGGGAGTGGATTTTATATTGTCCAGTTATTTCTCCCTTACTCGCTGTTGGAGAAGGAAGTGAGCATTCAATCTTAGAGTTCTGTTTGAAAACAACGTACTCAGATGATGTCTTTACAGACAGACTGGCATCCCTGGCAGCTGCGACTGCAGAACAGACCTGCATTTTCATGAAGCGGCTTCCTCTGGTTTCAGAGCTCTGGTTCTCAGGAAAGCCAAGATTTGTGGATGAAGGACTCCGTCCTTTGAGCTCTGGGGTCTATTATCAATGGATGGAGCCAGGGGTGGTGGCTCACACCTTCAATCCCAGCACTCAGGAAGCAGAGGCAGGTGGATCTCTGTGAGTTTGAGGCCAGCCTGGTCTACAAAGCAAGCTCCAGGACAGTCAGGACTACACAGAGAAATCATGTCTTGAAAAACCAAAAATTAAACTAAATAAATAAATAAATAAATAAAATAAGAATGAATAGGATAACTCTAAGGCTGTCTGGGAAGCCCCATAGCCTTCAAAGAATGGAAATGTCTTCACAGAAAAAATATGGAGTAATATATAACAGTGCTGACCTTAACTCAAAATTATGGTTGACATTGTGCTTCCTGGTTTTGTTTTGTTTTGTTTTGGTTTGGTTTTTTGGTTTTTTGAGACAGGGTTTCTCTGTGTAGCCCTTGCTGTCCTGGATCTTGCTCTGTAGACCAGGCTGGCCTCGAACTCACAGAGATCCACTTGGCACTGCCTCCCCAGTGCTGGGATTAAAGGCGTGCTCCACCACCGCCCGGCTTGCTTCCTGTATTCATATATGTATTCATGCTTTTGAATGCTGAAAGAAACGTGGCGATGTCACCCCAGCCCCAATACATATTGTATCGGTGAAACTCCACCGTCTCTACCTCAGCCTTATTAAAGCAGAACTTCAATTCGATGTTTTGGTATCTGTAAAACCCTGACGACTATAAAAGCAACGGCGTTCCTGCTAAGAGCTTTTTAATGCTTTGCTGAACGGTTTTTTCCTGCCCAGAAAGCTGATATGATAAGTTCGACACTAAGGGGACAGATTCCGTGCAGAAAGGCAGAGTCACTGGACCCCTGGGAAATGTCCAGGGCGCTGCTGGGGCA